AGTGAGTGAGTGAGTGAGTGAGTGAGTGAGTGAGTGAGTGAGTGAGTGGTAAGCTTTCAAAGAATGTGAGCGAAATAAAATAAACTTCTAATTAAATGCACAAAAGCTTGCTGCTGGATTATTAAAATTCAGCCAAACACTGAGGATAGAAAAAAAACACATTTGTATAATTTATGGGTCACAAGTAAATAATAGGAAACACTAAAAAGTTACTTGTGATAAAGGCAACTGAGGATAGACAATAAATGCTCACAACATGCACATCCAGAAAAACGTATATATTTTTAAAAATTGTGCAGAATCTTCATGCAGCACATTGATTCAATGTAGTCATAGACCTTAATGAGCAGAAGGAAAATTTTAAAACAAACACAGGAGATGGAGAACTTCTGCAGGTCTGGCAGCATCTGGGGAGAGAGACAAACAGTTAAATATTGGACTCAAAACAGTAATGTTTGTCTCCATAGATGCTGCTAGAACTGCTGAGTTTCTCCAGAATTATGTGCTTCTTTCAGATTTCCAGCATCCACACTGTTTTGCTTTTATTTAGAAAAGGAAAACTTTGATTTGACAGACTGTTCCTGCCGCATTCAACCAAAAATTTATTACAACAGGAGCACAATTTTACTTCTGTTTTGTTTTTATGCTTCCTGAGGTTCATGATTAAAATTGTCACTTTCGAGCGCAATTGGTTGTTCAATGGAGATGTACATGAAGGAGTATAAGAGGCGATGTCATACTCAAACAACAAACAAAAAAGGACGTTTTGTTTCTTTGACACTCACCTGCTGTAGAGGTTCATCAATTATACTGGAACCAGTCAATCGCCTGTCAATCTTTATTTGTTTACTTTCACGTCTCATTTCTTCTAAAGCCTGAACAGAATAGTTTTAGAATCAAAACATAATACCAACTTAAAAAAAAGTCATCACAGAAATTTGTTTTCTTGCCATTTGTAAAGGTTGAAACCATTAAGAAATTCCTGCTCACCTTTCCTTGAACTCCCTGCTAAATGCCCCAACTCAAGGCTTCCCCAACTGTGATCCCGAAATGGCTCTCAAAGTCACAAATGACATCCAAGTGACTACAAAGGTAAATTATCCCTCCTTAACCTGTCTGTAGTCTTTGACATGATTAAGCATAATCTCCTCCTCTCATACCACTCACTTCATCGAACCTAGTGGGACTGCACTCTTCCTGGTTCGATTTTTATTTACAATGTATTGCCTGCAGTGGTTTGTCTGCCCATTCCCACACAGTTATATTTGAAATGATAAGAATGCCCCATTCCTGTTTTTCAACCATAAGCTGCCCATCAGTAACATCATCTAAAAACAGCTTCAGTTTTCACATGAATACTGGTGATACCCAACATGTCCTAAACTCCAATGCATACAACTCTCTCCATTGTCAGACCAGTCATCTGGCACCCAAAACTGGATCAGTAAAAATTTACTTCACGTATCTGCGAGATGAAAACGACTATTTTTGGACACCGCTCCAAACGTTTGTTCCTTCATCTCTGCTCTCACCCCTCCCCTGGTAACTGTCCAACATTGAACCAGAACATTCACAACCCTGATCTCATATTTAATTCCAAGGTGAGATCTCAATGCATATCATATCATCAGTAAGACTGGGTGTGTGGGAGCCAAAACCAGGCTAAATTATCTCCAAGACAATATCAAATTTAGTCCAAGTGAAGTCAGTCAACTTACTCTGGGGACAGCAGTTGGTGCTGCAGGAAGGAAAGAATGCTCACACTTTTCAAGATATTTCTCAGAATTTATTTTTCCAAAGAGTAGCGTGACTGCAAGGCCCCTGAAAAATAGGACACAAATTTTGAAATTTTTGTGTTCAAGCAACAATTTCATTTCAGCAAAATTTAAATGATTACATATAAATCATAGTTTTAGTTTCATTAAGACATACAATTTGTTCTTAGAATTTTAAATCAACTTAAAAAGGATCATCACAGTTCATTTTAGTGATCAAATCGTTACTTTAGTACATAAGAAATATTGAATTATTGAATCACAGTCAATGAACATGTCAAAAGAATCAATTTTATCACATCAAAATGAAAAATCAATGGACAAGGTTGCTTTTTTCATAACTTTTATTTTAATTATTAAACCAAAAACAATACAAATTAAACATGAATTAACAAACCACGCAAAATAAATTATAAAATTACATAGTAAATAGCAGATACAAAGATGGATCTCTCCGATTTATTAGGCAGTTTATTGAATCTGTATGATACTACTTTCAGCCACACACTTTCAAAATCTGTAGTAATCTTCACATACAATTCAAATTTTCTTTTCTTCAAAAATTCAGCCACCAATGGTCAACTGACAACAGTTCCCCTTCGAAGTTTCAATCTTCAAGAAAGTAGTGCACTTCAATGCTTTCAGCTCTGTACGGTCCAAAAAATATTAGCTCTGTCCCAAATTCCAGTGACAACCATGTCCAGTATGGCTCATTCTGGACATTTGTTTTGAAAAATTAACAAACAGCTGCAGCCACATTGCTGAGAACAGCCTGTTTTTCTAATATATTGTTTGGAGCTGAAGTTTAGAATCAAAATTTGAACAGCAAACAAAAATCCTGATGTTTCCACATGGGAATTAGCCTGGAAAGATAACTGCAAGTTACTTATTGTTTTAGGAACACTGCAGATATTTCAGTACCCAAATTTTTTATGCTCAAGGATGTGGAGCTGGGTAAATAGTGCACTGATCAATCAATGGGAAGCCAGTGATGGCTAGCTAACTACAGAGGACATGTGAAAAGGATGCATGGAAAGAAAGAGAAAGCATAGATTGAACTGGTTTTGGCTAGGTATTTTGATTAAAGACTCTGTACTCAGAAGCTACCGGACTGGGAAACACATGTTTCGAATTTTACCCTCTAGTTTAATACTCTGCTGAAGAATTACTGTATGTTTTTAGAAAGGAATCACAGTTTAAAAGAAATAGGCAAATATTTATCGGAGTCTGCTGGTAGCTGTTTGCATTGACCAGTGACTTCCTAATTCAAGCAGATACAATCGCATGTGCCTGTAATACAAGAATTGCTCAAGGATTCCATAAAGTTCTGGTAATTATCGTTGAGATGGTTATCGAATAGGCCAGTTACAATTTTTTTTTTTTAAATTTATCCCTTAACTGTTTGAGAGTATGTGCGGGAGTTACCATTAAAGAAGACAAGATTTAAATCATAGACCTAAATTAGATTACCTTGTTGAGCTTTGTTCCACTAAACTTATAGTATGAATAATAAATTGTTCATTTCTGTTTAAATTAAAACCTTGGTGTCCGACGCATGTTATTCTTAAAGTCTGATCAGGAACACTTGAGCAATTCTGAGAGTGAGTGAATGTTTTAATTTCACTGTGCTGAAATCTAGTGTTAGCAAATCTGAATCGGTCTGGCTTGCCATCCTTGTGTCTTAACATTTTTTTCTTTTCCCCACTTCCTTCATATTCCCCTTTCTCAAATGAGATACAACATTTTTCTCCAGCATTTCTGTCCATTTGGGGCTGTTATTCCAGCAAGTATCAATTAAAAAAAAAAAAAAAAGGGGTGATATACAAACATGCACTCCGGCAAATGTCTGAAGGTCAGCAGCACATTTCCATCAGTACAATCTCGGCCTCCTGTATCCCCATCTGCTTCCAAAACCTTGCTTAGGTATACATTTGGTAAAAGCACTTATTTTCAGCTCTCTTGACCAAGGCTCCGATCCCAGAGCCAGTATTACTCCTGGCACGCCTGTGAGTAAATCCATTTCACAGTAAAGGCACTCATGGCAGCAAGGCGGAGATCCTCAATGTAACATATAGGAAAGACAATGCCCAAAGCTACACTCAAAAGGAGTGCAACATCCCACACCTCAAACCATGGATCCTATCTTAGAATCCTAAGTTGACTACCAGGTTGTTGAAGCCTATTTCCTTACTGAATAATTTATGCCATCGTTAGAAGAAAGTCATAATTTATTAGCTCCTTCAAAGAAGTTTGATACCCAGCCCACCAACAGTTAAAGGCACCTATATTTTTAGAAAATAACATCTCTCTGGCCTAATGCAACTCCTTTTTTAAAATCAACAATTCCAAATAAAAACTTCCTAGTGTTCAAAATATCTGTGTTGTGTCCTGGGTTTGTTCCAATAAAATTGCTTACATGATTTTGGAGGATAGATGGAGGCGTACCCCTATGTCAATCTCATCTCTCTACAAGTCTCATGAAATGAGTTAAGCAGCTATAGTTCTAAAAAGGTGTAAGCAACTATATTTATATTGCACCTTAAAATGTAATAAAGCATCCTAAAGCAAAGAACAAAGAGCAGTATAGCACAGTGTTATGGACCAGACCATACCCCCTCAAAATATTTTTGGAAGGTAGCCTAGACCCTAACTTTTTTTTATTTTAGAAGATAGATGTGGAGTGTGTGCTCTAGATGTGCTGCAACTGGTCAAACTACTCTACATTAAGCAACACACATTTATTTAAACACTATAGTTGAAATACAAACAAAAGAAATAGAGGAATTTAGAATAACTTAACTACTGGAAAACTTAACTGAATAATAGATGTCGTACCTATTACTAATATAGCAACATCCCATAAACACACCTCTTGGCAAAAAGGCAAATACAGCCAGTTCTCATACAGTTCTCCTATCCAAGAAGAAGAAACATCAACAGAAAATTCAGAGATTGCAGCAGCCAAGAGACATTCAATGAAGCTTCCAACTCGAGACCCCAAACAGATTCTGATGTTACTGAAAAAAAACTCAGAAATCTGGATCTGAGAGAGCTGGCCACATCCATTCAGGTTACTTCTATTATTCCAAATTTTAAAATAAACTAAAGGCCTCCTCACAAGTTGTTTACTTAAGTCATCTTCAAGTAGGCACTTTGTCACCTCTGCCTTACAACCTCTCCAAAAAAAAAACCAAGCCTTTTAAAGCGAAAGCATCGTCACACCTCCCCCCCTTCCAAAAAAAAATCAATATACAAGGATGGCTTCACTTTTAGAACCTTTAGTCTTACCCTACTACTACATTACAATACATATACATTCCATCGACTCTAATCACGTGAACAATTCACTACTACATTCTATCTCCGTCCATTTACTCCAGCCACCAAACACCTCCGTCTTTCTTCAAAGTTGCGACGACACATCGGCAAGTATGCTTCCTCGTCCTGCCATGTGTATAATTTTCAAATTGAATGGCTGCAATAATATGCTCCATCTAAACAGTCTAAATTTTTGTCCTCAAGTTTCTTCAAAAACTTTAATGGTTTATGATCAGTACATACAATTATCTCAGACACATTACTGGCAATATAAATATTGAAATGTTGTAACGCCAACACCAAGTTCAAGGTTTCCTTCTCAATCGTGAAATATTTCTGTTGATGAGTATTCAATTTTCTGAAAAAAAAATATACCCTAATAGGTCTACCTTCTCATCTTTTTTTGCAACAGTACAACACTGATACCCACATCACTCACATTGATTGCCACCTTGAATGGCTTTATATAATTAAGTGTGGCGGCTAACACTGGGGCAGCAGTTAACACAGCTTTCAGACTGTCAAATGGCTTCTGATGGTCCACCATCCACCGTAATGTCTGCACCTCTTCAATAAATCAGTCGGTGGAGCAACCACACTGCTAAAATTCAGTACAAACTTCCGATAAAACCCACTCAATCCCAGGAATCACAGTACTGCCCTCTTTGTCGATGATATGGGAAACTCCCCAATAACGTGTGTTTTTACAATCGGTGAGGCCATCTGTCCATGTCCAAAAGCATGATGCAGGAATGGGACTTGTGCTTTTGCGAATTCATTCTTAGCCAGGTTGCTCACCAGCCCTACCTTCCGAAGTTGATCGAACAATTCCAATAAATGCTGCAAATGTTCTGTTCATGTGACTAAAAGTCACCACGTCGATGTACATCATACAATTGGTTAATCTCGAAATGACTTTACTGGTTAACCTTTGAAATGCAGCTCGCACATTTTTTGTACCAAATGGCAGAACTTTAAATTGGTATTGTCTATGCGGTGCTACAAAAGCTGTTTTGGATAAAGTTACCTGCCAGCAACTTCAGAGGAGGTCCAACTTATATTTCTAAGTTGCTTGTTCCACCCTCTCAATACAGTCTTCCAAACATGGAATAAGATATGAATCAGACTTTGTAACTGCACTGACTTTGAGATAGTCTACACATAATCATTGGGTACTATGGGCAAGCTCCTCTCACTGCAACTCACTTCGATTACGTTGTCTTTGAGCAGGCGTTCAATCTATTTTTGAATCTTGCCAACTTTAGGGAGTTAAGTCTAAAAGGATGTTGCTTAACTGGAATAGCATTTCCTATATCTACATCATACATGATTAGATTAGTACCTTCTAGCTTATTCCCACATATCTGTCCATGCAATAGTAATAAGTCTTTCAAGTAATTTTGATTTTTCTCTGGAAAGGAACTCAATAATTTATCACAATTTTTCAGAACTTCCTCATTTGGACAACTTAATTTGAGAAACATTCAATTCAGAATCTTCACTGTGTCGTAACGAGTAACATATTCTCCTTTTGCTTTCCTTCCCTATCAAAATACCGTTTGAGCATATTCACATGACACATTGAGGTTTCTTTCTATCTGGCGTTTCCATCAAATAATTCACCTCACTCAATCTCCTTTCAATTTGATATGGTCCACTAAACCTTGCTTTTAAAATGTTCACCTATCATTAGCAAAATTGTGAATTTTTCATTTCTTGTCTGCTTCC